CCATCGAATTGACTGACACGTCATATGCGCCAAACGTCTGACATGACGATATCATTCAAAAGACACGTTCACTGTCTTCGTATACTGCTATATCCTGTAATGTCAGACAATTTGACGACGGTTATTTTTTTTCATTTTTCTTCTCTCTCGGATCGCGACGCGCGCTGGGTCACCAGAGAGAGCAACGTGAGGCGGCAGAGCTGGCAGAAGGCGGTGGGATGGCGGTGACGGCCGGGCGATTTAGGCAGGAGCTTCGGGAGCGGCTGCGCCGCCATGGGCATTTGAACTCGTTACGCAGTAGCTTGCAGGCGGCTCTTTTGGCCGACTTTCATGCCGGGGGCGCGCCGGTGCCCGGTGCAGCTGGCGCCCGACGCAAGCCGGGCTTTTGGCACGCCCTCGAGGCTTTGATTGCCCAGCACTTTACTGTGCGTCATGACGATGTGATGCTTCACTGTCACTTGGCAGATGGCCGTCTACGCCCAGATGAGGTGCAGCATCTTTCCCTGCGCGCCCTCCTTCAGGCCATGAACTTGCCCTGTGAATCCATGCATCTGGCTCTCGATCGCCTCAGGCTCACCGAGGCTCAAATTCGAGAGTTGACTCAAAAATCATCCGAGGAAGCAACGCCGGATTCGTCCTCAGCTCCTTCTATTCACGATGCCCAGCCCCCGCCCAGTCTTTTGGCTGCCCTTGTACTTGCTGGGCTTCAATTCCTGACGACGGAACAAGTTCCGTCACACAATCACGAGACGCCCAAGGACTGGGAACGAGCTCTTGCTGAAGTGCACCGTCAGGCCGAAGCCCGCGCACAAGCGCGTCTGGCCACTGAGCAAGAACGCTTTCGACAGACTGAACTCCTCCAGATGCGACTCCAGGAGCGCGAGCGCTTGGCGTACGTTTGCCAGCTAGCCCCGCTGCTCCGCCTCCCCGCCATACCACTTTTCTTATCCCACCCTTTGCCTGTGTGGATACCCGCTTGTTACACAGCCGGGAACTTGAAGACACGCGCACTCAACTGCAGACCGCTTACGAGGCACGCGCTCAAGCGCTTCAGCAGCGGGAGGAGCGCGCAGATGACGAGCGCCGCCGCCTGGCGGCCCAGCTCAAGGTCTGCCTCAGCCAGCTTCTCTCTTTTTTTATTGTATTTTAATTCTTTTCTTTTTTCAAAAACACAAGCTCACCGCTGATTGGCCCCCGACTTCCTTGCTCCCTTGCAGACTGACGCAAACGAGCAATTGGCCGCCAAGCGTCGGGAACTGGATGCGTTGGAAACCGAGCTGCGCCAGCATCTCAATACGCTGACGCTGCAACAGCAAGGCACCTCTGCCCTGGAAGAACAGCTCCACGCGGCGCGAGCACAAACTCAGCAACTGGCGGCTCAACTGCAATTTGCCACCGCCACGCGTGGTCAACTGGAAGGGCAGGTGAGCCCCATATATGTTTCTGTTCACTTTCACGTTGAGATACCTTGAGATCTACCCCCCTAGCATCCTGAGCACTGACGTCCCATTCTTTTTTGAACATGCCTAGGTGGCCTCTCTGCAAACCCGCTTAGAACACCAGAGTGACTATGCCAACATTCGATATCAAACACAAGAGCAGGAGGTGGGGCGCCCGCTGGCTTACCTGCCTGCAATCACGCGTGCGTTTTTCATTTATGCTGACGATTTGCCCTCTCTTGCAGCGCCGCATCCATGCCCTGACCAAAGCTCTTGATTTGGCTGCGGAGCGCCACGACCTCATGGAACACCGTCTCCGCGCTGCCGATGATCACACTCGCGCCGTCGTTCAGGTATTTCTTCCTTTCCTTCTGAGCGCTTCCTTCGCTTGCTCCTCAGGCCCGTCTCACTTTCTCGTTTGACACGTTGTTCAGGACCATGAGGAGCGTTGGGAGCTGGCCATGGCGCAGCAAGCGCAGCAACAACAACAACTGCAAGCTCACATCCATCGCCTGCAGGTAGCAGCCGTTGCGACCTTCCTTTGGAGCCACGCCCATGCCGTGCTCACAGCTGAAACTGTCGCGCTCCCGTTCCAAGGAACAATTGGATGCCCGAAGAGACGAGGTGCGAGGGGCTCGTGAGGCCAATTTGGCCCTGCGAAAGCAGTTGGTTCTTGCGGGCGCCGATCCATCCTCCTTCCCCACTATCCCCCAACCTGCACTTCAAGAGAACCGTGCCCATCACGATTGGAGGCCGACCCAGCCCTCGAGTCAGGCTTCCCATCCCCCACCATCGCAACACCAGTCCGCCCTCCTTTTTGCTCAGCGCCAAATCGAGCAGCTTGAAGCTGACGATAAGGAGCTCGAGCATCGCATGGCCTCGTTTTTGCGCGAAGGGCGCCGTCCTGTGAGTGCCGCAGCCGAGGTCCCGCACGCTACCCAGCTTCGTCTAGGCCCCCGTGCCGCAGTGCTTCAGGATCTGTATCCATCATCAGCAGCCACTCAGGGGGCAGGATCCTCTGAAGCTCGTGCACCTCCAAATTTGCCTGCTGCTCCGTCACCACAACACGGAGTCAAGCCCCACGGCCCCATTGGCTCCTTCGCTGTGACTTCCCCTGCACCTCACGAACCAGAACCTGACAAAGGCGCCCGTGTCACCGACATGCCTCAAGCTCAAGCGGAGTCAGGGCCCGATGCGGCCTTTTCAGCGCACCGATCGCGGCAAGTGGGCCCCTCGGAGATCAGCAGACCTGCAAGTGCCACCGTGCGCCCAGTCACGCCACCGCATGTTCTGGCCTTCTCCCCTGCCTTTCAGCAAGAGACCCGGCCGCCACGTCCCGGGTCCTCTCCACGCCCAAGCGCTCACAGTTCCCCTCAGGCGCAATCACCTCCAGCTCCAGTCGCAACCGTCCGTCCGGCCACGCCTCCCCACCCGCCTCCAGTCTCACCATGTTTTGCTGAGGAAACCGTGCCGCCGCCCACCTCTGCTCCTCCGGCTGCCACAACCTCGATGCCTGCGGTTGACAATTCACCGATACAATCACGCCTCCAGCCCGTGTCTTCTGTCACCACCAGCACTCCTACGCCCGGCCCCCGGGCCACGAGTCTGCTGAGCTCGCTGCAACAGGAGCTCGGCTTTTCTGCGGCACCTCAAGCAACATCGCCGCCGCAAGCTATGCCCGCGTTCACTGTGGCGGCAGCTTCGCCGGGCTCGCAGTCACCCGACACGTAAGCGCCGACCCCACTTGGGCTGCTCCATGCCCATGATCCTCTAGGGCGTTTTTTTTTTTTTTTTTTTGGTTTTTTTTTTGGTTTTTCATATTCTTATGGGGCACGTTCATTCACGACTGGATCATTATTTAGGTCGGTGGTTGCGAGTAGTATCGTGAGCCACGCTTCCCTGTTGGAGCGCGCGTCGGCCTCTCGTCACAGTTCTCCGGCGGCACCAAAGTCTGAAACACAATCCGGGAACGCCTTGCCTGGGGTCGCACAAGACGATCCGTTGGCAGCCTACATGGCCATTGTGGCGCGCAATCGGTAACTGCTGCTTCGCAAATGGGGAGTTGATAGGAACAGGAGGTTGAAAAGCTGTATCGTTTTTAGCTTCTTACTTGGACGGGTTTGGACGATGCTAGGGCCAATAAGGACGAAGCTGCCGCACCAGCAGCTGCCCAGCAGTCCCGGACGGCGTCGCCCGTACCTTCGCACGATAGCTTTGCTGCGGCTTCCTTCCAGCTGTCCGATGCACAAACGATCACACCGCGTGGCTCGCCAGCTGTAGCTGCTGTCTCGTCACGCATTGGTACGTCCCGTCAACTATCCATGATCCCAGCCCGATTTCCACGCTTTTGCCGTGCTGACAAAGAATTTCGATGATCGTGATGCTAGGCGGCTCGGACTTTGATTTGGAGTCAGTGGATGAGCACATAGCATCGGCCGATCTATCGGCTGTACCAGATGACCCAAGCCTTGTGCCGTCTGATCCTTCCTCGGGCGGCCTCTGGTAACCCCTTTCCGCTTGTCCCGTTCAGAAGCAAGGGCGAACCAGCGCTATTTATGATGGCCACACAACCCCGCAAGCCGTGGCACGCTGGCTGGTCTGATTACGGAAACAAGGAATAAAAAAAGTATTTAACAACTTTGAATTGATGATTTTGTTTTTTGCTCAAGAAGAAAAGGTGGGGAGACGGTGCTTTCTACGCCTCGGACTGGATGGTCGAGGCTGCTGGTTGGGCGGACGCCAGCACTGGCTGTTCTAGTTCACTCAGTTGCTTAAGCATGGTTAGGCGCAAGTTCATTTTGAGCGCTCGCTGTTCTGATAAATGGTTGATCTGCTGACCAAGTTGCTGTAACAGGTCAGGTCACACGGGCAGAAATGAGACGTATGAGAGCAGGGGTGGAGTGCAAGATGCCGTGTTGACGGCTTTAAGCGTGAAGGGACGGGTTGCAGGTTTGGAGGAGATTCATACAGACCTCAATATCGGCGGTAATTTCCACGAGTTGTTGCCGCTTCTCCTCAATCTCCTTGCGTTTGGGGGCGGTTTCCGCGAGCATGCGATTGGCGCGCTTCAGTTCATCTGCAGAATAAATGTCGTCGTGAGACGAGCCGGAGTATGCGGCACGTGCGGAAATGAGGGCTCGGTCAGACTTGCCGTGGTGATGCTGATCCAAAACAACTTCCATCAGCCGGTGTCGCTGAGCGCGAGACGAGGCAGCGTGTCCCCCTTGAGTACGTCCTAGGAATGGGAATAACAGAATACACAGGATGCGCGCACAGGATGCTTCAGCGTGTGACAGAAGCTCGGCACGAAACGTGCACCAATGGAGAGAAAATGAGGCTGAGGGGGAGAGTTGGGCCCGGCAGATGGAGCACATACGAGATTGGAGCAATGGGCACAGGCCCAATAACCATCTGGTACACGATCCAGCGGGGGCTGCGTTGCGGCACGATGCGTTCAGCGGGGTGAGAGTTTGTCGGAACCGTCGAGGCTTGGAAATCAACGGTCAAGGAACGTACTGTTGTGCACATGAGGTGGTAAACACGAGGGCAGGCATCACACATCAACAGTTCACCATAACCGTGGCAAACGCTGCAGGCTTCGTCATGGGCCATCTAACGCGCAGACATCACGCAGACCCCGTCAAGGATGTGGCGACAAGCATACTGCCGTACGCTGTGACTGTTTTTACCTCGACAGTGTCTGACGCGTTGTTCGCTGCGACAGGTTTCAATGGACCAGCGCGACGGCCTACAGCAGGGAAGGCAAAAGGGAAGGAGTTGAGTCGGGCAATCAGATGCACTGCCGACCACTTTGAGCGGAAGCATGATGAGGAGGGCGGGCGTACGCTTGCGACGGGTTGGATTCTACGAGCCCCAGGCGTCGTGGCGAGTGAGAGGCACGAGAAATGACACAGGCAAGCAAGCAGGCACGTGGGCTTACCTTTGTCTTGGCGGCACCACGCATAATCTCTTGATGCAGATAAATACCTGTAGGGGCCGTTGTGGAGCGAGGGCGTGTCTGTAAGCAAAAGATAGAAGCACGCGATCAAACCAAGGGTCTTGGGACGGACCTTCTGCCAAGCGACGAGGCACAAGGTGGAGGGAAGCCATGTAGGCGCGTTTGGCGGCGGGACTCCGGTCATCCGGGTGATAAAACTCCAAGGTGGCACGCACAGGCGCATAGGGATCCTTGTCATCGCGCAGGAGAACGGCGTGCGGATCAAGCGGGCGCTGGAGTGGGTGAGTGTGTGAGGCGGCTTGGGAAGCAACGCTAGCCGGGGTTTGTCCAGAGACCCGGGCGGACGCATCCCAAGATGAATTGTGATGGGGCTGACGACGGCCTTCGCCGGCCGCGGCCGTCGGATCGCGAAGCGTGGTGGCGAGCTGGGCTTTCAGACGATCGATGGCTGAGCGACCACCGCGGCCGCGACCACCACGGCTGCGTCCAGCACGACCGCGCGCCCCCCGGCCACGAGCTCCACGACCGCGGCTACTCTCCGTTGTGGGGTCAGTCGGCAGCATTTGGACGGCATCTTCTTGGTCATCGTTGTCGGACGCAAAGGGGCTGTAGTTGTCGCCCATAATGCGACGGGAGCTGTGATTGTTGTGAAAGAGCAGATGGTGGCCGGCATTGTTGTCCGAGTCCATTTGAGAGTCGTCATCAGTGACGCCAAGCGGCTCGATGGCACTCTCCTCGTCCTCCTCCACACCGCCTTCGTCGTTGTCTCCTCCCTCGTCGTCGTCGTCATTGTCACCGGAATTCCCGTCGCCATCGCCGTCATCGTCGTCGTCGTCATTGGCATCGTTGGTTTGTGTCTCGTCTGCGTCATCCTCGTCATCCTGATCACCTTCGTCGTCCACATCATCATCGTCATTGTCGTCTAGATCGTCGCCATCGTCATGCGTGGTGCCCACAGCTGCGGCCTCATCGCCAGCATCGTCGCTGCGCGCTTGACCAGAGCCATTGTCAGCACTCTGGGGCGTGCCGGAGAGCGGTTGGCTTGGGGCCGCTTCACTGTCCTGGTCTTCGTCGTCAGTAAATACAATGTAGGGCCGCTTCGGGCGCGCCACAGAGGACAGAGGCTGTACCCTGCCCACATCCATGCTGTGCAGTTTGCCAACAAAGGGGCACAGCCCCGCCAGACCTTTCTCTTTACACTTGAGGCTCGAGCCAAAGCTCGACCAAGCGCGAAGCCGCGATGGATCGACCGTCAGCACAGAGGCCGCACGCACGACAAGTGCTCCTCTAAGCATCACACAAGGTACGGACGGGCACATGAGCACACGCCTGTCTGTGAACGCCACCGCCATCACCCCATCCCATACCCGTCCGGTAAACGACGAACAAAGTACCACCCACCAGGACCAGACGTACCAGTTGGCCTCTCCACAGGCGGCAGGTGGCCGACACCCAAGGCAGAGCAGCCACGACGAGCGCGCTGCCGTTCGTTTCGTTTCAATTTAAAGGGAAAAATGAAAAAAAAAAAGTTTTAAAAAATGAATCTTGAGATTTGCATTTTTAAAAAAAAAAAATTAAGAAATGGAAGGTAACCGCTTATATTACTAGTGGTAGTTTTACAATTTATACTTTTTACTCTCTCTCTCTTTCTCAAACCGACCAATCTCTCTTCTCTCTCTCTCTTCCACGCTACCCAGCTAGGGAGAATCCCCCATCCCTTGCTTTCATCAGAGATCCTTCCATTTCATCATTCACCTCTCAGCTCCCTCCAAAGCCAAATCCAGAGATCTACCCCCAACCCCCTGCCAACACCAGAGACCCGTCCCCCACGCAAATCCGCCCATTTGCCTTGATCCTGCCCAACCCTACTTCCAATCCCGCCGCCCCCTCTCTCACGATTTCAAAACGGCAGCGCCCCCCCTCCTCCCCTCTTTAGCTCCTTCCTCCAGCTCCCTCTTCCTCTCCTTCCTCCTCTCCTTCTCCCCATCCCTTCCCACTTCTTGGGCTCCAGTCCACGTATGGTGCCCTCTACTTGGGCATATCTCGTTGTCGGTCACAAGCGCTGGCGGAGAGCGTCACGCGGGACCCCTGACAACACGATTGCAGGTAATGACAGGAGCGCGCCGTCGCGGGTCGGTCGCGCGCGTCCTCAGGGCGCTGTCGCTGCCGTATCGCACCGTCACCACACTTGCTTATGCGCTCGTGCTGGTATGTGTTCTCCCGGTGCAGAAGACCTGTTTCTGTCGAGTGTGCGCTGCTTGTCCGCAACCCCAAGGCCCAAGACATGACGGGGTTTGTGCAGCTGGTACGTCCTTTCGTGGCCGCTCGCATCTCCTTTTCCGCTCACATTGACCCCCTTTGAGCCGTCAAGCTCACAAACAAATGGGCATGCCTGCGGATGTCTGCCTCCTGCGGCGCATCAACCCCTTACCAAACGCTAGATATACATTCCGCGACAGTACCGTGCAGCCGATGCCGAAAAGCTGCGCGCCAAGGTTTCTTCTCCGCCTGCTTCTCCGTCGCCTGCTTCTCCGCCGCCTGCTTCTTCTTCTCCGCTTGTCCTTCTCCGCTTGCTTATCTCTCCACGAAACAAGCCCCTTATGACATCAACTGCCCATGACTGGGATTTAGGTCCGCGAACCTGATGGTCAACGAGCAAAGGTCAAGATTCGACTTGACCCCAAACACAATGCCCGTGATGCCGACGGTCAGTCCGTCCAGCCCAGACAGTCTGCTCCTTGACCACCAGCCGCGCTCGAATCCGTTGTCAATTTCACTCTTGTCCTCGTCTGCTCAGCCGCGCGCGTCGCCTTTCTCCCCCGCCTGGTTGGCCCACACCACCTCGTGGTGGCCATCAACGGCACCAAGCTTCCCATTCAATACGACTTGGTATCTTAGCCTCCGCGGCTGCGCTACTCCACCTGCTTGACACATCCGCACGCATGCCGTGGCAAACCCGCCAGTACGACCCCGCTTTCTCCTCATCCCCTGCCGTTGTCTTCTTTGTCTAGAACATCAACGAATCTCACCTGAGTTCACAATCTGACGCCAACATCGGCACTTTTACCACCACCACCACCACCACCAAAGCTGTAGCTACCACCACCACCGCTCTTGGTACGTGTGTACTGTGACCTGTGCCTCTCAACCTCCGGGGCAACCAGACTTCTTACAGGATGCTCCACACTCCCGACTCTTGTCGTGCAGCTGCCGCCATGGGCCCAGCCTACCACCAAGTGCCTGACGATGCGCTCGATTCCGAGTCGATCTTCGCACGCAACTCGCAAAAGGTCCGCCCTGCATTGCCCCTCGCCCCGCCCCATGCCCTCCAGGAAATTAACTTCTTATCTTTGCTCCCTCAATATTGCATTTTACTCCCATGACAGGCCAACTCGGCACAGGTAGAGGCCTTGCGTGCTCAGATAAAAACAGATTTGCGCGCACAGCAACAAGCCATGCAAGACGAAAAGTACGCATCTTGCATGGTCGCTCTGCAACGGTCCCCGTCATACCTTCTTTTTTGCAGCCATTTTACGTCACCCGTATGATGATTTCTCGTCCCGTCTTGATAGAGACATGCGCAAAGAGGAAAAGCGCCGGTTGCGCGAGCGCATCAAGCAGCGCATGCTCGCCAAGCAGCTTGCTGCTTTGGGTGACAGTGCTTCGACCCCACCTATGCCTCTGGCCATGGACACCACCGAAGACAGCCCGGATACCCCATCCACCCCTCCATCCTCGACTCACCACCGACGTTCCCGCGAGCCCGGCTCGGAGGACGCGGCACAAGGACATTCTTCCTTGTACGGCCCCCAACCCTGCACACGCACACGGTGCAACCACGCCTCTACCCCTCACACTGGCTTCGTACGCCTTTCTCTTTTTTGCTTTGTCCCGTCTCTCTCTCTCTCTCTCTCTCTCTCTCTCTCTCTCTCTCTCTCCCTCTCTCTCTCTCTCTCTCTCTCTCTCTCTCCGCGGGCCCCCAGATTTCGTCGCAAGCGCAACAGCACGCAGCTTCCCCCGGAACAACCTTCATGCTGGCTATGCGGGTCGCCCGTCAAGTACGCTGCCACACGGCCGCCACTTCCATGCAATTCCCTGACCGCCTCTTTCCTTCCTTTTTTTGTCAATTTCTTCCAAGCTTATCCCGATCCCTTGTTCACGTCTTTAGGCAAGGAGTTGTCCTACTTGCGCAACAGTACTGCTCTTCCGACTTTAAGCATCTTTTTATTAATCGTAAAAAGCGAGCCCTTCTCCTCAACAAAGTCCAAAATATGGGTACAGGTGTGATGATATCTCCGTTTTCAATGCGCCCTTGATGCCCAATCCTGAAGTTGTCTCGCTCACCCGTGCTCTCCCGGTGTATCAGTTCCCTTCAATCTTCTCAAGCGCATCCCAGATATCAATCTCAAAGGTACAGCCTTGGCGCTCCTCACCATCCTGACTGAAATGCATTTTGCTTGTTTTCTGGTTTCCGGTTCTGGTTTCTGGTTTCTGGTTCCTGGTTTCTTGTTTCCTGTTTTTTTTTTTTTTTTTTGGAGGGGGTTTTTTTTTTGTTTGTTTTTTTGGTTTTTCTCAGCCAAGCCCATTGTCTAGGCCTTCAAGTCAAGGATGTGCGCCACGCCATGCGTCTATTTACCGAAGCCGGCTCTTACATCCTACCTTCAGTTTCGGGTTGGTGGCATCACAGGCTTTTCTTTTCTTTTTTTCTTTTTTTTGTCCCTTCATTGATTTTTGTTTTTCGGAACTCGTGCGCTTTCATGTTCGCCTGTTCCCATTTACTTTTAGATGGTCATGAAGCCACGATTGGCACCGGGGACGCACGTTTGTGCCTCTCCACTCTCCTCGTCCGAAAAATTGGCGAGGCCGCTGCCAACTCGGCAGTTGAAGCCCATCTGAGCGAGCTGATTGAGAATCACGAGCTACAGTCACCTTCGATCATGCGCGAAACAGAGTTCTTGGTCCTTGCCGCCGAGCTGATGCACGAGTGGGCTCATGGGACGCTCAAAGCTAAATCTGCTGCCGTGCGAAAGAGCATGCGAGCTTCGCAGTCTACCCACCCGAGCGCGCTCTTTGGTGGTAACATGCCCAAGCCTGGCAACCTCAACCTGAACCACGTTTTCGGAATTGCACCTGCTGGCTTCAGCGCCCCTGCCCCTGCACCCACTCCCAGTGGCCCCACACAACCGCAATTGGTTTGTCAACGTTGCGATGAAATCGCCTTCCAACGCATTTTGCCGCCGTGCCTCTGCCATTCAATTCATGTTCGTTTTGCTCCTTGCTTGTGTATTCCAGGGTTTTAGTGGCGACGCTGGAGCTGACAATTGGATGATGTACTAGAGAAACAAGATGCGCTGACCATCCTAAACGACCAAACGTGAATGTGATCCGACCAGACAATTCTTTTTGTTTTATTTGCCCTGTGTGTTGCACGCCGCCACTTTGTGCCATCCGTGTTCCGTGTTTGCGGCGCCACGGGCAGACAAAATTGGCTGTGGCTGAACGTGTCCTTTTCAAACTCACTCGTGAATCTTGCGCCCTTCACTCCCTGACCTGCCTTTACCCGCCCTTATCCATGAGTATCTGGCAAATCTTTTTCATGTAACCCACACGAGGAGGGGTTTTTTTCTTGTTGCAGATGAAGTTATTTTGAGTAATTTTGTGTTCACTGCAATTAAATGAGCTCGATGAAAACCTGTACCACCTCATGTCCGCATTGCTCCTTGGGCAGCGACGTGCTGCATGTACGGATCATCGTCATCCCAGCTGGCAAACAGCGGTGCGTCGGCCAGAGAGCTTTCATCGACGTCTGTTGCGTATGCAGGTGGTCTTTCGCTCCGACTGAGATCTGGCAGCATGGGATCCACAAGACTGTTGGCTGACCCCACACCATCCGAACGTGGTGCTCCATGGCGGTCTTGCGTCGCTGCAAACCGTGAAACACTCGTCTGTGGTCCCGAGCGGGGCTGGTTGTCACTTGTCCCGCGATGGTTCACGTCAATCAGCTCCAAGTACCGAGCTTCAATCTCCGTGTCAGTGCGGCCTGGCAGCTCAGCCGCCATGTCAAGCCAGGTAATGTCATATTGACCTATACGCAAGAGGAATCGTCCATGACCCGAAATATGTCAGCCAAAGGCATCCACACACAAGCCCATCGATCAACCCCCTTTGGGGTGGCAAGGGCACCTACGAGCAAGCTGCATGATTGCATCATCTTCCTCGCGAGTCCACGGGTAGAGCTCCGATGGTAAAATTTGATCCGTATCCTGCTTCCCCATCACATAACCACATAAGCATGAAATGAGGGACCAGCAGGAATCATGAGGAGCGACAATAAAGTTGTGGCACCCACGTCGGCTCCAAACCACTGGTGTAGCTCGTGCTCAACGGACGCATCGCGAACTGATCGCACGCCATGCTCGCCCAAAAAATGAGAAATGGTCTCGCGCGTCACGTGAATCTATCCCATCGTCGATTGACCCAGCCGCAGCGTCAGTGTCGTCCGTCGTGCCGCTCTTCAATGCCAGAGTGCATCGGGGCGTACCGCAACATGTTTCTGTCCTTGGGCCATCTCCATGTCGCGACGAGACGCCGCAAGCTCGTCGCGTGCGAGTGCGAGCAGGAGCTCGACCTCCTTGAGCGCTTCGTCCTTGAGTTTCAATTCCCGCTAACATCCACAGGAGTCATGAGCGATAAGGTAAGTGCTGTCAAGGGATTGGAATCAGTAATATCAGAACCAACCTGCAAGTTGTTCGCCAACCCTGCTTGGAGTTGCCCAGCATCCATTGCAGCATTAGCTTGTACAAGGGCGCGTAGCTCCTCGTTCTAATTGAAACCCGCACAGCAGATCTCATGATAAAGGGACGCGAAAAAAAAAACACTTGCAATAATTTCAGCCAAGGCTGCCAATACCTCTGCTGCTAGCTGTCGGCGCCGGGCGGCCTCCGTTTCCAGCTGGGCCAACAGCCTGGGATCAGTGGCTCGATTTATTCGCTCGCGCTCCAGCTCTAACAGCAGTAACCCACGGCCAGATTTATTCAAGGTGAACAACTACCAGGTACCCTCACTCAATCTTGTTGGCAATTTTGCGGAATGCACCTCGGCGAGCGTCGTTCAGATCCTGCTCAAGCTTGTCCAACATGCGATGCAAAGCATAAACCGCCTCGCGCCACCCGGCCTAATCATGCAAACCACGCCATCATACACAAAGGTCGAAAACCGAGGCTGCATGGTGATTCAGGAGAGCCCAGATCCCAACCTTCTCACGTGGCGTCATGGAAAGATCGTCATTTTCGCTGGGCACGCGAATGCCGCGCTCCCGCAAGCGTTCTTCGATATCGGCATTGCGTGCTGCCGAGAAGTCGCACACCATGAGGGCTGACGTTACAACTCGGCACGGTATTCCGAGGAGATAAAATGGTCGTACTTGTGCCCAGCTGACTCAGGCGCCGTTCAGATTGGAGCGGCGAGGCCGCAGAGCCTTGTGGAAATGATGATTCCGCCTGCTTCAACTCCTGAGATAAAAATCGACGTGGTATCGTAAGATGGCCTGCTTAACCTGGAGCAGATTCCAATTGCAAAGTACGCTACACGATGGTAGATTTGCCGTCGGGCTAACCGCTTGAAGGCGCGCAATTTCAGCCTCGTGCGAAGCCAGTAGCGCACCGACTCGGTCGAGCTAATGACATCACGCAGTGCGGAATATGGTCAAGCCACCATGACGTTGATTGCCACCTTGCACTTTCAACTGCTCGCGATCCGCTAGAACATGAGCAAACCTCTTCTCGCTCGCTCTTTGAGCCGCGTTGAAGTCGCGCCACCGAGGCCTCGGCTGTTGCAGCACGTTCCTCCTATCGGCGATGTCCACATAATTTCGCCAGGTCTGGGCCACAGAGAGCTGATGCGAGTGCAAGGATGCGGACCTACAGCCTCTTTTAAGCGGCGCCGGGTGTCTGCCAGAGCTGCCTCCAGCTGTCACAATGATGTGCAGGAATGAGCTAGACGTAACGAGCATACTCAAAGCAGATATGCCAAGAGGGCTCACTCATACTTGGGCATTTAGTGTTTCGGCATGCTGTACGCGCTCATCCATGGCTTTGAGCTGATCTCTGCAACATCCGATTTACATTGAATCCATCGACAGGTGCCAACGCGACGGGGCGCCATGGAACAACGATCGTACTGCAAACGCTCCATAATAGCCTCTGCCTCAGGTCCAGGCACTGTCGACGATTCTGGTTCAAAAACTGGTCCGCCACCAGCGGCTTGTGCCAGCTCATCGGCAAGGCTCATCTGAAACGTGACCACGAGATGTCAAACAACAAGTGTGGGCGAGGATTTTGTCTGGAAGAAAATCATGCGATATTGACATTCGTACATGACGGTGTGGCATGGGAGTTTTGTGCAAATCTTCAGAGATGGGCCGGCTTGCCCCCCCTCCACGGGTCTGCAGCTCAGCCAGCCGATGCTCAAGCGTGCGAACCTGTCCTCAGCACCATTGAGACGCATAAGTCAAGTCTTTTGAACGCGCCCTACCCGACAAGCCGGCATTACCTGTTGTCGCAAGTCACGATTGTGAGCGTCAAGTTGCCGGGCATTGAGCGCCTCGTCAGACAGTTGCTTGGTACGCAGGCTTAGAGCTCTGGTAAGGGGGCCGATGATGGCCGCGCGCGTCACGTGAGCATCTGGCGCAAATGGTGGTTGCGAATTTGGTCAGAGAGCAATGGGAACACATACGCCAGCTCAGCGTCCTTGGCACGGAGTTGCGCGCGGGTGCGAGCCAGCTGAGACTCCGCCTTCTCTTGCTGACTTTGGCGAGCTTCTGCTGACTCGCGTATAGTCTGCATTCAGCAAGGGGGTGAGGAGAGGACAGCCGTCGCACTAGCTGGTGTGAGAATATAAGATAAGAAAGACCACGCACTTGTTGAAGACGAGCCACTTCGGCCTGGGCAGATGTCAATTGCGATTGCAGATCCTTCTCTTGGCGCTTGTCACGGCCACGTTGCGAAAGACGGCGTTGCAAGGACTGTACTTCTGCTTCAGACTGATTAACTTGGTTTTGCAGCCGCCGAACCTCAGCCTTGAGACGTACAGTGGCTTGCTGCGCTTCGGTGAGCTCGGCGTCGGCTTCAGTACGCACCCCCTATCAGAGAAGAGGAAAGGTCATGACCGACAGGTGTGCATGTGTGCGCAAAGCGGAAGAGCATGATCTGTCATAGACTATTGCAGATACCTCAGCAAAAGCGGAGTTGCGTGCAAGGGTGGTTTTGTGCTGCTCCTTTTCTTGTTCAAACCGATTTTTCAAACTGCTCAATTCGTCTTGCATGCGCTCTTTCTCGCCAGCGGTGACCAGCATCACATCCATGGTGGCCGCCAGCACTACAGGCAAGGAGGGCATAATGAAGCTGGTCCGCCCCAAGAAACTTGCTTTCAGCACGGCAGGCAAGGTCAGGCTTACTCGCATGTGCCAGGCGAGAGGAAGCAAGTGGAACCATGCCTTGTGCTCCATCGTGACCCTGCAAAAGTACGCGCCACAAAAAAAACAGAAACCAAAAAATAAAGAAAAAATGAATCACATAATCAAAGGAATTGATTGGAAGAATGAGACAAATGGCGCCTGTCTCGCCGCTAGAAAATGGTGCAGTGTTCCCGGCCACGGCCTGAAAGATAAGCATCAAGAATCACCTGCTCGAGAAGATCTGCCAAATCTTGAACGTCAAGACGCTGCTTGGGACTCAACCCCAGGTGCTGAAGAAATCGCTCAGTAAACAGAGGCTAAATGACGAGGAAAGATGTTGCCGCAAGGATGATTGACAAGCAGAAAAAAATTGGAGTACGACAAAGGTGCGCAACCCAACAGAACAGGAAGGCGCCGCACCCCGGAGTAGAGCTGCGCAATGTGTTGTCGACGGCCGCTTGAATCCCGTGGGCTCCCTAGGTGCGCGCTGAAGCATCACAAGTTGATGGATGAGCTGGATGCATGCACGCAAGCAACGTCCGAGGTTTTGACGGCGACGACGGCAAGCCGTCCCGGCGAGACCCCCCCTCTCCCCCCGCCGGCATGAGAAGGGCAGTTTTGCGGCATACTAGGTTGTGAATAGACTGTCTTGCACCAAGGGAGTCAGGTCTTCCGGGCTTATGAACCCGTCCCCATCCTCGTCGAGGGCGTCAAACACCTGCGTGCCGCAGCGATTGGGCACGAAATCGCGGGTGTTGAGCCGGAAGCGCAGACACTGGGAACAGCAAGGGCATCCTCTCAGGCTTGACCTGTTCAGGCAAACAGGAATACAAACACCTACCTCCTGCAACGAGCGCGCCATCGTACACTCGTCCAACGACCACCACGCTTCCCTCAAATCCGGAAAGAAAAAAAAAATCAAAAAACGTTCAAAAATAAAAAAATACGTGTAAAGTAAAATTTACAACTGGGAAGGAGCAAGGGTCCTACTCGCTCCGTGCTTGCTTGCTTGCAAAAAAAAACGGGCATGGCAGGCACCGATGGCAAAAAGCGCTGGGAGGCTCGTCGTGAAGCATTTCGGTCCGAAAACTTGGTTGCTATTCGCCGGGATGGGTGAGCGGCTGGCGCGCGCAGCGGTTGCTTTGCTCGCGGTCGCGACATCGTGCAGCTCGGTCGATCATGTTCAGGCAGGCCCTGCTCGAAACAAGACCGTGGCGACTGAAGGGGCGGGCCAGACATCCATCGCCGCACCCTTGAAAAACGCCTTTGGTGGGCAAGGCTTCCCCCCACCGTTTGCCATTCTGCCGTCGGGTGAGGTCACGGAGAACCTAGCCGAGCTGGGCGATGTCGCCGAGGCCATGAAGGTCGACGAAACAGAAGCAAACCAGCGTAACAGGTTCTCAGGGTGGCCGGGCCCCTTCTGGCTGGTCAACACGTTCATGTACGAGGGATGGCTGTCAACGATGCGCTATGTCAAGCACAAGCCCACCAACCGCTGTGCCGTCATCTGGACCGTGGGCATGCTGGCCAAATCCGTTAAGAGCGCAAAAATCGACTTTGAGCGGTACAGCAAGTATCTAGCTGCCATTATCACTGCTCGCGATGCTGCTGCACATCGGGCCAGTACGGGCCTCGACCTTGCCAACGTGACGCATGGGCGCTGCGACCCAACCCGAGTCAACTACATGCTGACCATGGACGATATCATGTGGGAGCACCTGACAGCCGAGGGCAAGGCGACGGTGCTGGACCGTTTTGACACGGTGGTCACGTCCACCCCGTTTGATGTTTTGATGAAGACTGTCCCCCCCTTTGTTCTTCACATGCAAAACGACCCAACGCTCGGCATCCATCGTCTGTTGGCGTTGATTGGGGCGCCCTACCCACGTGTGATGGCGCTGGACACGGACAACGTGGCGTGCCGTGTTGGGTGGGAGCTGGCGTTTGGGCTGCTAAAGGAGTATGACATTGTCACGGTCAAGGGCCCGATTCCTTTTGGAGGCAGCTGTCATAAGCGCGAGACGCCCTTCCCACCTATTCGGCTTGACAAGGGAAAATCCGTACTGGACTACGAGCATTACGAGGAGGTCAACATTGGGACATGGGCCATCGACTATCACAATCCTCATACACGGCAGCTTATGTTGGCCGCGCTGGACGCATGGGTGAGCCTAACCTTGATGGTCTCTGGACCAAACTACAATCGAGTTCGCGATGGCTGTCTGCAAGGCGATCAGCTAGCGTATCGAATTGCCATGTACGCGATGCAGCGGCGACTGGACATTTTCAAGGATATTTCGACGGCCCACAGCCGTCTGCAATGTCGTACCGGTATGATTGGATACCAATGCACACATTTTCATACGTCACATCGTCTACCAGCCGTGAATATGTCGCTGAGCGTGTGCAGCGCTAAACAGCCCAAGAATGTGCCCAATCACCACACCGTCCCAGAGGCCGACTCGCACATTCACTTTTCGTACGGTACACTATGGTAAATTTTAAGGAGGAAGCAAGAACATGACGCTACAGTAGCTTAGTAGCTTGGCATGTCGCTCTGTCTTGATGGCGCTGAAGCCTTTCCTCTTTTCGGTGTATGATTGTCGTCGTATGTACGCTACTAGCAGCCTACGATGCGGCAGGTGATATGCACCCATTTGCATTCTGTCTGTGTGCGCCATGCGCCGCGTCTTTTTCTTTGCCTCATGCGTATCGAAACACTTGATTCAAATTTTACATGAAACGGATCGATGAATGTCTTCAATGAATTTCGGCTCTGTCTCTGTCCTGTCTCATTGTCACTCAAAATCATGTCTGCTTGGCACGGTGTCAATGCGACAGTGTCCTGGGCGGTCGAACGTAACGCTTGCGTCACGAACACAGTGTCACTCGCTCCGGCTGGGCTGGCACAAAGTTTTTTTCGTTTTTGTTGACCGTTGACGGCAGTTGGTCCAAAATATGGCGCAAGCATTGCATCGTAAACCCGTGCCCATCGATGAAGCACGGTTCAACAAATGGCTGCAAATGGGTGGTGAATAGCTCGTTGAATTTGAATGATTATCACCGGCCAGAAACTCGAGACGGGAGTGGTCGCAGGCTTTATGGTGTGTGGAGGTCAATGTTGAGCTGCAAGGAAGCGCGTCAGTGTGGAGGAATCGGAAACGTTTTTGAAAAAGGACTAGAAGCGTCCGTGGGGACAGAGCAAGAGCCTTGAAATTGTCTGGTCAATTGAAAACGGATGCGGTCAGTCAGCATTCACAGTGACCACCAGATGTACGGTTAAAATGGCTGCCGAGTGGCTCCGTCCCAAGAAAGGGAAACAGCGACTAGTGCCTCAGAACAGGTATTGGAACAGGAAGAGGCAGCGGTGATAACAAGTGGGCACACATAAGCAATCTGCCAGGACATTGCAAGGTACGCAAAGCACGTCATGTTCAATCATTGACCTTCATCAGGAAGGAACTCGCTTCAATAGCATGTGGATGCGCGCGAAAGCAACAAAGGTGTTCAAAAACGTCGCGACGAGGATTTGACACCAAATGGAAAAATTAACAGTATCCTTAAAATTTACCATAGAGTACCGTACGAAAAGTGAATGTACGAGTCGGCCTCTGGGACGTTGTGATACAAGGGCACATTTTTGGGCTGTTTAGCGCTGCACACACTCAGCGACATATTCACGGCTGGTACACGACGTGGCGTATGAAGATGCGTGCACTGCTCCCCAATCGAACCGGTACGACATTGCAGCCGGCTATGAATCGACGACACATCCTTGAAAATGTCCAGTCGCCGCTGCATCGCGTACATGGCAATTCGATACGCTAGCTGATCGCCTTGCACGCAGCCATCACGTTCTCGGTCGTAGTTTGGTCCAGATACCATCAAGCTGAGGCTCACCCATGCGTCCAGCACGGCCAACATTAGCTGCCGTGTATGAGGATTGTGATAGTCGATGGCCCATGTCCCAATGTTGACCTCCTCGTAATTTTCATAGTCCAAGATGAATGCTCTCTTGGCAAGTCGAACAGGCGGGTAGGGTGTCTCATGCTTATGACAGCTGCCGCCAAAAGGAACCGGGCCCTGGACTGTGACAATGTCATACTCCTCCAGCAGCCCAAACGCCAGCTCCCACCCAACACGGCACGCCACGTTGTCCGTGTCCAGCGCCATCACACGTGAGTAGGGCGCCCCAATCAACGCCAAGAGGCGATGGATGGCCAGTGTGGGGTCGTTTTGCATGCGAAAAGCAACCGGGGGAATCGTTTCCATCAAAACATCAAACGGGGTGGACGTGACCACCGTGTCAAAACGGTCCAGCACCGTCGCCTTGCCCTCGACCGTCAGGTGCTCCCACATGATATCGTCCATGGCCAGCATGTAGTTGACTCGGGTCGGATCGCAGTGCCCGTGCGTCACGTTGGCAAGGTCGAGGCCCGTACTGGCTCGATGAGCAGAAGCATCGCGGGCAGTGATAATGGCAGCTAGATACTTGCTGTACCGCTCAAAGTCGATATGTACTCTCCTAACGGATCTGACTAGCATGCCCACGGTCCAGATGACGGCACAACGATTGGTGGGCTTGTGCTTGACATAGCGCATCGTTGACAGCCATCCCTCGTACAAGGACGTGTTGACCAGCCAGAAGGGGCCCGGCCACCCTGAGAAGTCGTTGTGCTGATCTGCCTCAGCTTTGTCAAACTTCATGGCCTCGGCCACGTCACCCAGCTCGGCCAGGCTATCCGTGACCTCACCCGACGGCAGAATGGCAAACGGTGGGGGGAAGCCTTGCCCACCAAAGGCGTTTTTCAAGGGTGTGGGGGATACCAGGCCCGCCCCTTCGGTCGCCACGGTCTTGCTTCGAGAAGGGCCTGCCTGAACATGATCGACCGAGCTGCACAATGTCGCGAGCGCGAGCAAAGCAACCGCTGCGCGCGCCAGTTGCCCACCCATTATCATTGTTAGCAACCGTATCTCGAAAGAAGGCCGTCGACCTGCCAGACAATCGACCAATGGGACAAGACCATCACCAGGCACGACCAGTGTCTTGAACCTTCCAGGTTTCAACCGGAAAAAAAGGAGACAAACGCCGGGGTCACCCTCTCATCTATAAGACCAGTCGAGAAAATACTTGCTGAGCCACCGCCTGCCAGCCAAGTTCAAGAGCTCAGGGGCTTGCTTGGCAAGGGCCTTCCTTGTTCACAAAGCCAAAACCATTGAAAATGACTTTACACACACCATCAGAGAACATAAATTTATTGTTTTTTTTTAAATTGCGAGCACACCCTTTATGAGTTGTGTCGGTGCAAACCCAAAAAAACAGGGTACACATTCGCTCCCCAGACGTGCGTCGTAGCGACACGCCCCGATGAATGTGGCTTTGGTGGCGATGCCATGGACGGCACGGCTCGAGTGTCATGGGCATCGTATAGTCACATAAATCACTCACATAAACTTGTGAAAAATTAGTAAAATTTTAATTTTCATGATGTGAAAAGGTTGCTTACTCCTAAGAAGCGAATGAAATTCATAATAATAATACA